TGCCGTCGAGAATATACTGACAATGCAGTATACTTGAAGAAAATTGATGATTTCGAGCAGAACGAACATCGCTGCACTCCACTGCACTGGTGGTCACAGGACTCGTTCGTCTATCGACTGATAAGTAAAGCCTTCCGATCTCGAAGCTGGAATATCATCATGAACTATCGTTACTTTATCATTAAATTGTATAAGCAGATTGCGAAGCTCCATCAAGTACAGTTTCCTCCCTTGTCGTGCGAAGAGCCTGACGACGAAGACCTCTATAATATGTTTTTGGTCTATCGTGGTCAGGGCATATACCAACACGATCTAACCACTCTGAAACATAATGTCAACGGCCTTGTATCGATAAATCTCTTTTTGGCGACGACAAAACTGGAACAATTCGCTACTGGATTCGCTACGGGTCGTGAAGATGAAAAAACGAGCGCTGTTTTATTCGAAATTATGCTCGATCGGCGTGTTAAGTCGAGTGTATTCGCCGAAGTGTTCACATTCAGCGCCATGCCTGAGGAGTACGAGGTTTTGATCGCACCAGGGACTGTTTTCCGTATCGACGAGGTAGTCAAGGAGAACGATTGTGATCGATGGACGGTCAGATTGATGCTGGTCGATCCAGAGCAGGATGCCCTCCTTTCCTATCATTTAGCTGATACGACCGACGTTGATTTGGGCAGAGTCCTTTTCACAATTGGAGAATATGATGCCGCGCAAGAGTACTGTGAAATGATGCTTCTGTACAAGACAGACAACATTTCGTTGCTAAGTACACTGGGCAACGTTCTCAAAATCAAAGAAGAATACGACCGTGCACTCGAATGTCACCATCGAGCTCTTAGTCTAACCCCTCGATCGTTGGATGCACTGCGTGGAATCATCTACTATAATATTGGGGTAGTGTACATGGGAAAGTGCGAGTACTTCCGTGCAATTGATTACTATCGGAAAGCAGCAAGGCTAAAGTCTACCGACGAAGAAAGTGTCAATTTGGCTGAAATCTATCACGACACTGCGTTTGCCTTCAAAGAACTCGGTGAACTGCGTCGAAGCATCAGCTTCTTTCACCAGACCCTGGCAATACAAACCGCAGTGCTACCTGACGCTCATTACCACTTGGCATACACACATTATCATCTAGGGGAGTTATATCGAGATCTGGATGAAAACATACTGGCTCTAGATCATTTCCAACGATCTCTCGATGTAAGCCAATGCTCGCGACATCGGCGTGACCCACTTGTTTTAAAAGCACAAAACGCAATGATACAACTGTACGCGGATATAGACCAATATGATATGGCAAAGAAAATTCTGGAAGGGTTGGTACAAACGTTTGGTAATGCTGGTGATGCTCTCAAAATGGCGATAGTGTGTATGAACTATGTTTCCTTGCTTGCCCGTAAAAGTGACTTCGCGCAATGTGTGAGCGTTTGTGAGCAAGTGTTGTTCTTAAGGAAAAAATGCTTGCCTCCGGACCACAGACTTATTCTGCTGAGCTTCTATGCGCTAGGTTCATTTCAGTTCATTCACTACAAAGACAGCTTGCTTCCTCATGTTTTGGAAGACAGCAAAAGGACTTTGGAAGACGCGGCAAACGTTGCAGGAAAGCATCCCTTCATTTTATCGCAAATACTAGAAATGGTTGCCCACGTTTACAGCAGTTTAGGCGATGATAATCAAGCCGTCGATTGTTTGCGTCGAGCGCTAGCTTTAGGTAACCGAAGTGATGTTGAACGTGGAGACTTGCATAACAACTTGGCGTGTACTTATGGTAATATGCATTGTTTTGAGGATGGCATAGTCCATCTACATCTTTCGCTCGAATGTTATCGTGATACTACGAACGAGGGCACTGTTCCAGATCAAATGGGCACGCATACCTTGCTTGGAATATTCTACTACTTCACGAAACGCTTTCGACTCGCGCTCGAACATTTGAAAAAAGCACTCACTCTCTGGAATTACACTGCCGTTCCTTCATCGAATAGTCAATTTGAACGAGCTATCTATTACTATACCAGTCAAATTTATCAAGCGTTGAATCTGCACCAGCTTGCGCTGACGGCAGAACTGTTTTATTTGTCGAGTGCTCAGCGTGCCGGCGTGCCTTTTTATCCTTCAGAAGAAAAGAATACCACGTGGGGCGTTGGCCAGTGTGGTTATGTAAACGGCACACATTTTCGTATTCGCCTTTACACACGAGACACTGAAGTCGAATGAACTAGTTCATTCGTTTTTTGCGAAAACATTTTGCCTGTTTCGCATTTTGTGTTCTTTTATCGCCAAGAAGAAATGCTTGTTATCTTTCTTCTATTAATCCGTGACAGTGCTCTTTTTTTCACAAGAATTTTCATCTCACTATTAGAATTACCGGTTTTTAAGCTGAATTCTCACAGAGAGTGTCTGCAACAAAAAAGTTTTCTCTGATCGAAAACAAAAGACTTCAGCTGTTTAAGAGTTCTTGTCAAAAAGGACATCTCCAACGATAAAATAAAGACTGTCTTCGTAGGTAAACTTACTTACTTCTCACGAAAGAAAATAGAGACACTGAAAAAAACTCTACAGTCGACAGTTGACCTCATTGGTATAGAGAAAGTTTCAAAACCACTACGTTTTCAAACATACATTTTGTCAGGAGTACTCGTTTCAGCTAAAGAGTCACGTTTTGAATGACTTAAATGTCAACCAGAGTTCCTGAAGGCAAAACATTTATTGAGTCATATCTTTCGTGGTTTTCGATTTCCAGAGAATTGGATTAACACAAGCGAATATAGTACTTTCTAAAGAATCGAACTTCTTCTGCTGTTTATTCACCTTACACTTCAGTTTTTTTTCATCACAAGAACGCTCTCAAATTCTCCCGAATTTTGAGTCATAATCCTTTGATATCAAATAGTCACACACGCCTTCAGTCCATCAACCAGGATTACAACAACTTCCTTTATTCGAAGCCACTCACTCCGTAGAAAGCTTTTTCAAAATGCAACACAGAGTCGACTGTTAAGAGAGAGACGAGACGATGGAGGTTCGACTCTGGCATTCGAATGAACGGATATATGAAGGCACATCACGTTACTTCGACAATCTCTCCCGAACGAGTTGAGTTTTGAACGGCTTCATCGCTTTCGTCGGAAGTTATGCTCATGAAACATTCGTTTGACAGCTTCTAAAGATCACGAATTTATCGACATGCAGCTCGGAAAATTGAGTTGTTCCTCTATACACACTTGTTGGTATATTCGTTAAAAAGAAAGAAAAGATGATCCGACTGGATTTAAACACCCTTTTTTGCTGCTCCTGCTGTTCGAGTAAATGCAGGCTAAAAGAAGTATATATTTTACTTCAATTGCTTTGGTGATCAAAAGTCACTGGTTTTTTAGTGATAAAAGAAATTGATATCGAAAAGAGATTCAAATATTTAATGGAAAATCGCCTTATTTTCCCATTTTCTAAAGCACTCTTGTTGTTCGTTCTATAGATAGTGCCTAAAAAAAGGAAATTGATTTCGCAAATTTTCCAAATGCCATGTAGAACGATGGTCCAATACCAAACGGCTATTGTACAATGGATTGGAAGAATGTGTTTTATATGCATATATGATTAACATAGGCTAAAGAGGAAGGTTCATTTTATATCAAAGCATTCCGTGATGATCAACAACATATTTCACTTAATGGAAGTAGACATCCTATGTCAATTAGCTCCAATCAAGCATTTAACATTGAATCATTTGAAGGATACTCACCCGCGGAAGACAACTTAGACGTTAATATTATCGAATCAAAGCATGGTGGGTTTATTACTGTTAACATTGGTAACAAGTACTGTTACAGTTGATTTAAGCTTAGGGATCCGGCATGAGTTGTTTTCCCCTTAGGGAGCATTTCAAAATTCTTGCCGTTCTCTCTGCCGCTCTGCCGTTCTGCCGCTCTGCCGCGGCATAACGGATTATTTTTAATGACATTTCGATATATTATCGGTTTCTTTTGATATATGTATACGTATACATGCAATTTATTTTGGTAGATAAATTTATTGAAATTGTCTTTGCGATTTACGATTAAATGCAGAAATAGGAAAAGTATAATAATGTTCTTCTTATTTGTATATGTAGAGTAGTGTACTATATAAGCATTTCTCAACTATTCCGAAATATTAAAAAAGACAATATCATGGTAAGTCAGTACTATGTTTTATTGTTAGTATTGGGTATATATATATCTTTTGATCAATACTACTCAGTTAGGCAACAAATATCTGTAATTGTTTCGGGAAAATACAATCTAATATTTCTTTTATAAGTGCAAGAGAGCTATGCTTCGGAAGCTATGCCTCTATTCTGAGATTATTCGTGTATTCCACTGTTACACAACATTTCATTATAGAATAATTTTTATATAGATGTATACAGAAACTTTATTTTCTTTCTAATTGATTTGATTACTTCTTCAAAGACAATTAACCGCTATGTGTCAAAAGATTATTCTTTTATCAACCTATACATATACTTTTCTTTTTACAGTTTATTCTACTCTGACACTATTTAGACTTTCCTATAAGAGAAATTATTCTGTTTTTCTGTTTAAAGAATAAAATAAGAAAAGAACAAATTTTATATTTTCATCAAACGTTCAAATGTCTTGTATATTCAAGGAGGAAAGTGCTTACAGTAAACTTATTTTGTATTGTGCCAACTTC